TAAAAAAAAATAAATTATACATAAAAATTTAAGTTTTAATAATAGGGTTTCACGGTATAGCTCTGGCTTAAGATAATCTACTATTGGGTCCACCAGGCCCATCCCTCCTGGTCTCAGAACTGCAATTCTCAATTTTCTCAGGTATGCACATTAATTCACATATATTCAGGATTCAATTCTGCAATTAACAATTGGAGTCACTGAGAAAGATCCCAATCCTGGTCTGGGTAAAACCCCAACTTCCCTCCCTGTAGATAATCTTCACTGCAGAGGTTGACTGTCGGTAAGCATTAACTAAGGCAATGGTGAATTGTAGATTTAGAGACAAGTGGCATGGATCCTTTTAATCATTTTGGCCTTGAATCTTTCCATATGCAGCCCCCAAATCACATACCTATATACCCACAAAACCACTAATCTTAAAGTTGTTGAGATGCCATAAAGCAAAGAGGCACAGAAAAATGTCTCATGCATTTAGCACATGGAACCTTAAAATGCTATTAAAAGTCTGGCAACGAAATGAGACAAACCTGGCTTCAAATCCAGTCACTAACTAGTTTGGGATTTGGGGCAAATCACTTCACAGTCTCTTTCTAAACCTCAATCTGTAAAACAGGAATGGATGATAGAGTTTGGTCAGAGTATGAAAGGAGAATGCATTTAAACACTCCCTGAAGTGAGACCATCCCAGGATTCCCAGGATTGCAAAGGGGTTCACCTTTTTTTGGTCGTGAGGGGACGTACACATGTGGCCTGACTGGTTCACAATTACATGACCTTTATATTTCCTCCACTGCCTTCTTTACAACATGTCTTCTTTTAACCAAATTCAGGAATGTATACAAAATTTTGGATTTTATTAGAGAACAGTTATTCACATTACAAAAAGAGCCACAGTAGGTCTTCCTCAAGCAGCAAACAATGTGTTTGATAAAAGTGCTATTTAAACAACTATTTTGTGCCTACAAAAGATATTAGCTTCTTTGGAAGTAATAGTGAAAAGGTTAAAGTTAAACCCTTTGAGACTTCCTTTCTCTGAAGGTTTCCACAGTTTCCCTTGAAAGGGTACCTAGCTCTGTGGCTTTACATAGCTATTTATAATTGCTAATTGAATGACATCTCTGGAGCAGATATTTAAACAGAGAAAATCGTGGACTAGAGTAGAGCAGACACATATTTCAAAGCAGCCATATCTGTGTTACATAAACCTTCCTGAGGCAAAACAAAATAAAAGGAGCCTGTCAGGGCAGAGGATAGAAGCTGCTTATGACTGAGGGAGGGGATCCTATGAAAAGAGCTGCAGCATGGGAAATCTGCCTTGGTTACTGGATAGGCCCAGCTTTCTGACTTGGTAATTAAAAATTTTCCTTAGATTTTTTTTTTTTCTTCCTGAATAGACAGAAAAATTATTATATCTTTTCATTGGAAATTAATGTCAGTTTTTTTCCTATAGGAACTATCTTCACTTTAATTGAATAAATATATGGGAAAAATGAGAAATTTCACTTGACAGTTGATTTTTTAAGAATACATATATTTTATAAACGCTTCAATTTAACACATAATTTAATAATCCTCAATTATTACAAAGGTTAGAACTTCACTGAAAAAACAAAAGCATTATTCATTACTCATCACTATCACTTACTTAAAATAATAAGTAAAATACAAACATTCTCCAAATATATTTGTAATTATCAGCATTGACAAGCAATACTTGAGCAAACACTATGTACAAGACATTGTTTAGGCAGTGAAATGAATGATGTAAAAAGAATCAACAATAGGTTTTTAAAAACCAATTGTATTTTAATAGGCTTTATATGCACCAAATGTCATCTTATTAAAATGTGGGTATTTTTTACATACTGAAAAAATTCTGTGTAACCTGCTCCTGTCTTCCCAGAGCTCTGTGGTTCCAGACCTTCATGGCCAATCTTTTCACTCTACCACTAGATGTCAATTCTGTGACATTGCATGCTTTGGGTGTAACTACTAAGCTATGATTGGAATAATCAAACCTCAGGGCTAACAGGAAGAAATTCTAACTCCTCTCCAAGAAAGTGTTAACCACATTATTCCAAAGCAAATGAAACTGATTGTGGTGGGGTTTTCTGTTCCTTAAAAACAACAACATAGGTCTCTACCAGAGGCAGGATAAGAGATCACATAAACTAGTAGAAAGAAAAATGAGAACTAAGACTGGAACCATCTGTATCATGGGAGGGATAGAACTAGAAAAGGAAAAAAAAGAGGAGAATTATTTTTATTTGGGTATGTGAACCCCAGACTGACAGTGATACACAAAAACGAGTTTTGCATTAAGGCGACAGAAACAAATGCAACATATGAAAGGCTGACAGAGAATCATAAAAAGAAGGTTTAAAAAAACCCTCAAGTACATTTTCTAATTTGATTTGGAGAGATTATGTGCTGGAATTGTTAATTTAAAATTCACGCAGAAAACTTGCTTTAGAGTCATTCTGATTTAACATATTGTAATTTGTGTTTATTTTATTTGTTATCAGCTTAATGCAAATAAGCCCTTATACTGGATTATAAATGCAGAGATCCTTACCAATAACTTACCAATTTATCATTTCCAAACTGGTAACAAAATCAATTCCTCTCATCTTAGCATCATGTAAACTTTTCACTATGTGCACATGAGTTTTTGCTTTGCTAGCCAAGGAATTATTATTCTGTGGCATACTAATTCACCACGTGAAAGGTTAATTCCAGATGAAAAACAAGAAAAGTTGACATTTCGTAACCAGGTAAATGCCTCATGAAATTTAATGCTTTCTGGAAATAATCACCAAGAATTATTCTGATTTTCAAAGAAAAATAAGACATACTTTCCAAGGTCCATTTCTTTGTCTCAAGATTAGCATGGTAGGAATAACCCAGGAACCCACCTCAGTGTGTCTTTGATGTAATGCATTATATTCCTTCTTCAGTTCTGCTTCTCTTTCTTCAAGTCTGCTAACTGAAATTAAGATACATACACTTAATCAAAACAAAATATAAGAAATTTACTTTAAAAATCCATCTTTAAAACTTGGAATGGGTTATCTATAATTGTTAGCAACTTTATAGGACTCAGTGCTCCATACAGAAGTCTTTACAAAGCAGTGACCTCATTTCATCATCTTTAATAAATAAAACATTGTGGGGGGGAATGGAGCAAACATCAGATTGGTTCTCTAATATGCCTATGTTTATCAGGTCATCCCCCTAAAGATTTTTAACATGATATAGAACTATCTCTTTCAAAAACATTTACCAATCATCTCATAAAAATTTTAACCTAGGATTAAGGCCCAAATCATTGATTTCTAACACTATTCCAGGTCTTTTTCAGTACTGGCAGTTTGTGAAAAATGTCATTATTTACAAGTACCATTTTCTGCTTCAGATCCTCTCAATTTCAGGGACTCGTCTTCTTTTATTTAGCTCCCTCTGCTGATGGATTTTGTAAGTGGCACTGACTTGGGGTAGTGCTCACAGAGTACAACTTTCAGGTATCTTTTAGAAAGTTTTAGACCCCAAGAGACAGAATATTAACACAAGATTTCACAGGAAAGAGTAACTGACAGCAAAGAGGGATGATTCAGAGAGGAGGGGGAGTCCAAGCAAGGCCACAGAAAAATTACAGTAGTCAAGACAGATGGTAATAAGAGTGTTCCAGACACTGTTACCACAGAGAAGGGAACAAAATCATGCCAGTGGAGAGGCAGAGGGGAGACTGGCCAGCCTGGAGGAGCCCATGCTGGCTAAGGAGCAGTGAGAGACAGTCTAGTGGGGAGAAATAAAATTGGTGCTAGGGGAGCTTGTCAAGATACTCATTTAAGCCTTAGCTTGTTGGAAATGTTCTCTTGGTGTAAGGGTCCACTAGTTACAAACACGTAAGGCTGTTTGTAATCTACAGCCTGTGATTATGGCAGCCAGCTATAGAAGGAACTACTATAAACTGATACTCTAACAACACACATAAATGTTTTATATGCTTCATGTTAACACACCAGACACCAAACAAAACACAACTTGCACTGCCCAGTAAACTCATTTATGGTTTGTGTGCCTTTATCTGTCATTTGTTTGAATATCTTGAAAATATATGATTAACTAGGAAAATTGTAGTTCTTTTTGTTTTGTTTCTAATTCAAGCGTGTATGTCATTGGCTCATTAAGTTTACACCAGTGAATAAACACACACTACAGTACCCGTGTAGCACACCGCTCATCTTATCCTGTGGCTGAAGGTGATAAAAAGCAAACTTATTATGAAGATGTGCTGAGATAATACAAGAGATGCTAAAAACATCATGGCGATTTTTATTTAAAAACAGGAAATCCAAGCAAATTATAGATATTAGTAACAATTTCAAAATAAACATTTTCTATTACTTCCTGTCAATTGAACTTATCTAAAAGCTTAAGGGAATCTTGAGACTACTTGACAAACCATATCTATTTTCAATTGTTCATCTTTGTGAATCAATCCTTTTCTGATAATGTACAACCAAAACAAAAAATTGAATGCTGAGGCTGAAATAAAATCCAACTATCACTCATAACCCTCAATTTCAAATTTATAGTCAATAGCTGAGCCTCATTATTTTTGTCAGCTAATTTGATATGAATTCAAAATAAATTTATATCACCATCACTAATAGCAGCTAACATTATATAATACTTATTATCTAAGAACTGTATATAAACTAACTTATCTGCACCTGACATTAACCTTATGATGAAAACGTTATTATTACATTCATTTTAGAGATGAGGAAATGTAGGCAAATCGGGGTTCAGTAACTTGCCCAAAGTCATACAGGTAGTAAATGGCAAAACAAGGATTCCTAACAGAGTCTGGCTCCAGAATCTAAGTTCCTAATTACCATGCTATACTGCCTCTCAAGAAATACTCCTTTTTCACTTGAGGCCAGGAGTTCAAGATCAGCCTGAGCGACACAGTGAGACCCTGTCTCTACAAAAAATTAAAAAAATCAGCCAGATGCAGTGGCTTGTACCTGTAGTCCTAGTTACTAGGAAGACTAAGGTGGGAGTATTGCCTGATCTCAAAGATGGAGGCTGCAGTGAGCTATGATTGCACCACTACATTCTAGCCTAGATGACAGAGCAAGACCTTGTCTCTTAAAAAAAAAAAAAAAAGAGGGCTGGCATGGTGGCTCATGCCTATAATCCCAGCACTCTGGGAGGCCGAGGCAGGAGGATCACTTGAGCTCAGGAGTTCAAGACCAGCCTGAGCAAGAGCGAGACCCCATCTCTACTAAAAGATATAAAAAACTAGCTGGGCATGGTGGCGTGCACCTGTAGTCCCAACTACTCGGGAGGCTGAGGCAGGAGGATTGCTTGAGCCCAGGAGTTTGAGGTTGCTGTGAGCTAGGCTGACTCCATGGCACTCTAGCCTGGGCAAAAGAGTGACTCTGTCTCAAAAAAAAAAAAAAAAAGAAAGAAAGAAAGAAAGAACAAAATATTCCTTTTAGTATGTTTTGCATATTAGATTTATTTAAGATTTCACTTTGGTGGAGAGGAGTATATTTCAAACAAAAACCTCCTCTGTTCTTATGGAAATAACCCAGTCACAGATACTTTGACACAAAGACATCAAACTACCAAGCAAAATATGTACCCAACTTTAATAATCATCAGGGAAATGCACACTAAAACCAAAATGCAACACCACCACCCATCAGAATGGCTAAAATGAAAAATATCATACATTAAGTGCTAGTATGGATGTGGAACAACTGTAACTTTTACATACTACGGGTCCCAGTATGCCCATTTTGAAAACTGTTTGGTAAGATTTAATAAAGTTGACTCTTTGCCAACCCTATCACAAAACAATTTCATTGCAGGAAGTACATATATGTGTCCACCCAAAGGTATTTAAAACAATGTTCAAAGAGGTGCTATCTGTAATCATCCAAACCTGAAAACCCAACTTGTCCAGCAACAGCGGAATGGATAAATATTCATATACTGGAATACTACACAATGTCAACGAACAAATTATTGCCACATAAATCATGGACTAACCTCACAAACGTGATGCTGAGAGAAAGCAGCAGAAACAAAAGAATATAAAGTTCAAAGACATACAGAACTAATTGGAAGTACTAAAAGTCAGGACAGTGGTTACCGTTGGGGAGGAGTTAGTGACCTGATAAATTTCTGACCACACAGTCTCGTGCCACCCCAGTCCAAACACAGTGTGTATCCATTCACATAGGCACTTTCTGGGGCTTGAATACTCATTCTTCTGAATACTCATTCCAACAACCCCTATGAGTTCAACATGTGGCACAGATTTAAACAGACTATTCGAAACCATTACAAACAAGTTGTGCTCCTCTTACTTTAGAATTCACAGGGAAAATAGTAAAAATGTTATCAGATTGGAGAATTATAAAAAGAAAGAAAGATGGGCACCATGAGAGATAAACTAGAATTACTCTTTTGAAAGTCATGTTGGTAGTATCTATTAAAATAAGCCATATGTATATCCTTTGACACAGTATAACCATTCTTATTTATCCTACAGACACTTGCACCAATGCCCAAAGATATGAAAGTGAATGTCCTGTGCAACACATCTTATAATAGCCTCCAAATTGGAACCACCTCCAAATTTGTCATTAAGAAGTTGATTAAGTGAATTATGATAGTCATACGAGAGAATACAATGCAGTGGCTTTGCTACTTCCTTGTTATGCAATCTTGGGTAAATTAACCTCTCTGGGCTTCAGTGTCCTTACTCGCACACGAGGAATAATAACACTATATCAGAGTTGATATTAGGAATGAGTTAATATTTGTAAAGGACACAGAACAGTGCCTGGCACACATGTGTTTTTTAAATAAAATACAATAATTAAAGATACCTGTTTTAAAAATGCTATATATATCTAAATGTACTGACATGGAACAATGCCTAGCACTAAATGGAAGGATATTGAATATATATTTATAAAAATAAAAAATACAAACAATATGATGCTACTAAGATGTCTGCAAAGCCAAAACTGGACTGTTTCCCCCAAAGCTGACCTTTCTCATAGTCTTCTTACTTGGGCAAAAATCTTGCAGCCATCCTTCTGCTTTCTCTTTCCTTCATATCGAATATCCAATCTATCAGCAAATTCTGCCCATTCTACTTTTAAAATAAATCTAGAATCTGACCGCTTCATCACTCCTATCTTGGTCTAAGAATCAGAGTGGTCCATTTGTTACAACAGATAAACCTACACTGACACATGCTTATCACCCAAAGTACATCGTTTACATTAGGGCTCACTTTAGTGTTGTACACTCTGTAAGTTTTGACAAATGTATAATGACATGTATCCACCATTACGGTATCATACAAAACATGTTCACTGCCTTAAAAATCCTCTGTGTTCCACCTATTCATCCCTGATTACCAACCCCAAATCCCTGGAAACCACTGATCTTTTTATTATCTCCATAATTTTGCCTCTTTTAGAATGTCATATGGATGGAATCATCTAGCACCTAGCCTATTCAGATTGGCTTCTTTCACTTAGTAATAAGCATTTGAGGTTATTCTATGTCTTTTCATGGCTTGATAGCTCATTTCCTTTTGGCACTGAATAATATTTGATTGCCTACATTACCACAGTTTATGCCTGTTATTTTAATAAGAACCAAAAGTCTTAAAATTACAAGCCTTAAACACTCACCGTCTCTTCTATGCACAAGTTAATTTTCTTAATCCACAAAAAGTGGTATTTAAAGATATTTTCAACAGGTGTAGCTGCGTTTTAGAAACTTGTTTGCTGACAGGTGATGTCCACCTTTTCACTATGTTTTCAATGCAAAATAAATCACAAGTACACTTAAACTAAACTCTGTCTCAGCTTTTTATATAAATATATGTTCTTACCTGTTTAATAACAGGCAAAATATTAAATTTTGCATCATCTAAAGCAAACAAAT